TGGGCACCTTTAGATTTTCCCTCCAATCCCATAGCAGCCTTGTAAAACTTGTTGTAGTGGGAGTGTTGCTATTCCAGTATCACACATCCAACAGGCTTTCTATGGTCTGACATAAAAATGAAAACAGAGAGATGCTGCAGTTTCGTTTCTCAGACTCATGCTGCTGATCCTATGGGAGGGGATAAAGGAATGCTGATATGGGAATATATAAAAGGAGAATAGCTGGAGTGAGTGATTATAAGAGAAGAACTGGTCCATGCTTGAGCAGATTCTGAACACTGAAGGTAATAATACATTATAGATACTTCATATAGAAGCATTGTGAGGTTTGTGACAGCTGTGACTGTTATAACTAAAAATAATGTTACTTTGTACTTATTGTAGTTGTATTCAGAGTGCCTTTCGAAAAGTATCCTATAAGGCCCCATTCACACTAGAAACGGCCGGCACGTACAGCTCCGTGCTGCGTGCACGGCTGTATCGGGCAGCTCCCGGGAAGGACAGGTGCTATTCAGACCGCGTGTGATTAGTACACAGCCCCCGTCCTTCTCTATGGAAATACTCAGCCATATGCCAGCCTACGCTCACCTGCCCTGCACGTCCGTGCGGGTGTCCGTACTCGTATGCTGATAGGATGGATCCTGTCTGTGTCATAGCAGAACACTCGCACCCGTATGGGCCTGCACTTGAGGTGAGCATAGGGCGGCGTACGGCCGCATATTCCCATAGAGAAGGATAGGGGCTGCATACTAATCACACACAGCACCTGTCCTTCCCGGGAGCTGTCCGATACGGCCATGCACGCAGCACGGAGCTGTACGTGCCGGCCGTTTCCAGTGTGAATGAGGCATAAGGGCTAGTTCACACCAAGCGCAGAGCAGAGCAGTTACAGAACGGATCAAAACTCCGTCCAATGTATTCTAATGGTATTTTTGGCTCTAGTTCACACTGGAGTGTTCAGTTCCATGTAAAAAAACTGCAGCAAACCCTATTTTTTCTGCTCTGGAACGCTCTTGAATGCATGCAAACATCAAAAACGCATGCAAACGCCCTGAAACGCACTGAAAGCCTTTAAATATGTCAACAACACTGCAAAAAACATGACAAAACACACTGCACTGCATATCCAGAAACTCATGCAGATCTGGTTTGCATTTGGTGTGAACAATCACTAACAAAAACATTAACCACTTCAAGACCAGGTGTTTAGACCCCCTTCCTGGCCAGGCCATTTTTCAGTATTCAGCGCTGCGATACTTTGACTGACGTTTATTCCGTCATGCAGCGCTGTACTGAAATGAATTTTATACCATTTTTTGGGGACAGATAGAGCTTTATTTCGGTGGTATTTAATCACCACTGGGGTTTTTATTTTTTACTATAATTAGGAAAAATTACAGAAAATGTGGGGAAAAAAAAGTTTTTTTTAACATTATGTTAGGAAACATTTATTATTACCCAGTTTTTTTGTAAAATATAAAAGATCGGGTCACGTCGGGTAAATAGACACCAAACATGTCAAGCTTTAAAATTGCGCGCACCCGCGAAATTGCAGAAAATTACCGTACCCAAAATTGGCCATGGGCGACGCTTTAAAAGCTTTTACCGCTCATCAGTTTAGTGTTATCAGTGATTGATGGCCCTACAATTATTGCTCTCACTCCGACGTTCGCGGCGATATGTAACATGTGCGGCGTAATGGGCGCAATCGTCTTTTTTGCACGTATGCGCCCCGGACGCATGTTTGCATGCGTGTATGTATGGGTGGGGACTTAAACATTTTTTTTTTGTTTTTTTATTCTTTTTTATGGTGTAACTTTAAATTTGGGGGGGGGGACTTAATTTTTTTTTCACTTTTTTTTTTTCCCACTAAACTTTATTGCTATCACATACGGGGGCTAATAAAAACCCCTCTATGTGATAGCAAAATATGTGACAGGTCCTCTTTATGGAGACATCAGGGGTCTCCAAGACCCCTAATGTCACCTAGGACCCCCCAAAAGAAGCTGATGAAGCAGAGATCTGCTCCATCAGCTTCTTTCCAGCTTCTGAAGCTGGAGAGTGACACAAGAATGCGGAAGTGATGTATTATACAACACTTCCGCATTCTTGCAGCGGAGAGGGGACCGGAGGGAGCTCGTGTACCGAGCTCTCTCTGATCCCCTGTGTCACAAGCGACATGCTGATCCCGGGCTCGCACCGGGCACAGCGGAGCCCGGGATCAGCGGTACAACGGCGGGGGGGGCCGCGGATGGGGGGGGACGGGACCGATCGGCACCCCATACACGCGATCCGCCGGCTCTACAGCCGGCGGATCGCTTGTATGGTGACAGGCATCGCTGCCTGTTTTTAAAAAACGGCCATTTCCCGCTCGCGCGCGCCGAGCGGCGCGCGCGGGGGGGCGTGTCTGAGCGGACGTCTAAAGACGCCCGCTCAGATCTAGAGAGCTCGGGCCGGCCGTTTTTTTACTACGGCCGGCCCGGAGGTGGTTAATACCGGCATGTATAAGTCAAAACATATTTATACAGATCACTATTTTTTTTAAATTACTGTATGCAAAATATTGTGGGTAACATGTTTTGTAAATGTATAAAATTATTTTTTTTTATTGAAAGGAAAAGCTTCACTTTCATGGTTTGCTTGCTTGATGTACCCTATTGTTATGATATTATATAATACACAGGTTTTTATGGTCTCCATGTCAGTGAAGTCAGTATTCCTGTAGTCACCAGCTGTGATTGCAGCAAATGGTGGCTGTACAAAGTATTGACTTTTTGGGGTTGTAAGAAATAACACGAAATATGATTTTTTATGTCATATTCCTTTTCTTGAAGCATAGGGTGGGAAAAGTTAAATAATAGAAGATTGCTTCCGTGCTTGCATAAAGTTCAGAATGTGTTTAATTTAATGTTACAAATAATTACAGGATATGGTATATCTTACAGAATGAGTCTATAAGATGCTTGTTGGTTACAAAATATAGTATATCTCAGGCCTCAAAATTTCCACTCGCCCCCTCGCAATTAGCGAGTGAAAATTGCGGGGGGCGAGTGGAATGTCAGCAATGGTGCCTCGCCGGCGGGACTAGGGATGGAACACTACCGCCGCAGCAATCGCTCGCTCGCTTCTGTTTTCTCTTCTTGAGAAGGAGAAGAGAGAACAGAAGCGAGCGAGCGATTATCGCGGCGGTAGTGTTCCATCCAGAGCCGGAGCTAGCTCTCTGCGCTCACTCTCTTTGGTCCCGGCCGCTTCAGCTCTACTCAGAGAGGCGGCTCTGATTACACCCGTTATCACTGGAGCGGTCGGGAGAAGAGGTGATCGTTCAGCGGTGTGATTCTGAGCAGTCTTAAAGAGCCCCCCCTCCCAGTCCACATCTTTTGGACGTTATTAATCTGAGTTGCCCCACTCAGTATACCCCTCGCTTGCGGCCATATTGAGTGGGGCACTCATATTAATAACGTGCTATAATGACAAATTGCCATTCAGTACAAGCGCTTTCGGGGTCTCAGAAGTACCCCTTCATCAGGCTCAGAATGAGCCTGATGAAGGGGTACTTCATAGACCCCGAAAGCGCTTGTACTGAATGGCAATTTGTCATTAAAGGAGTTTTTGATGTAAATATTGTGGTGTGCTGGTGACAATTCTTACTACTTCTATATTGCTCATGGTGCCATCCGTGGTCGCTACAAGCACCCACCTGCTTTGCAGGTTTACTACTTTTCCGGTAAGGCTGGTTTCCTATTATATAACATTGCTGACCTCTGTACTGCGCGTCACAATGCTGACCTCTGCACGGCGCGTCACATTGCTGGCCTCTGCACTGCGCGTCACACAGCTGGCCTCTGTATTCTGTATTGCACCACTGACTTCTGTACTGTGCATTGTTACTGATCTTTATACTCTGCGTCACACCGCAGGGTAGGGGTTCGGTGGGGCAACTGGTGGCGAGTAACTTTTCAGGCCTGGCTAGTAGCTTAGGACTTGAAATTTTGAGCCCTGGTATATCTTACAGCAGAAAAATACCGCGAGCTGTAGCTCGCGGTATACTGAGCTTAGGGTAACGGGAGGACGCTAGTTTGTGTCCTCCCGTTACCCTAAGGAGAACTATGGGGAAAAGACCTGACCCCATAGTTCTCCTTTAAGAAACGTGTCTTTAGTTTGTAAGTAAAAAATAGTCCTAACAGGTGTTTCTGTCTCCAATGTGAGTGTGGGTGAGGGTTTGTGGATATGGTTATGTCTGCGTGGATGTGTGTGTTGTGTGTATGTGTGTGAATGTATGTGTGAATGTGTGCCTGTGGATCAGTGTTGTGTGCCCTTTTATCCATGTTTTACTTTAAAATAACCTATGTGGCGTTTACCTTAAAAGTCTTTCAAATCAGCATAAGGGAGTGCCATACTTTTTGTCCTGAGTCATGTGTTCCGTCAATCCCATTTTGGGCATACCTAACAACAGTTTCAACTATGTTTAGGATCTGCTTGTCAAGCTTACTGATTGATCACCAATTGTAAACTCAAAATCACTAGTATAGCTTAAATGACATTTCCAAACTTGGATAGATTAAAATATAGAAAATCAATCATCATATAAGGTTCACACATACATATTTCAATATCATGGTTTTAACAGGGGTGAATACTTATTCACACTAAAGTTTTTTTTTTTGGTGTTAATTATTTTTTGTGTCACAATAACATTTATTTTGCACCTGCAAAGTGGTAGGAATACTGTGTACATCACATGGTGCATAGAGAGTAAGTCATCAGCACACCAAAATCTTCATGATCAAAATGCCTTTATTGACATTTGTCCATCTTGAAAACACTGATGTTTCAGTACCACGCAGAGTCCCTTCATCAGGCAATGCAACATATCACATCTCATCGCAAAGCCTGATGAAGGGACCCTGCATGGTCCCAAAACGCTGTTCTGTTTTTTTCCTGTGCTTTCCTAATCAACCAATATCAGTAAAGACCTTTTGATGATGATTTTGGTGTGCTAGTGCCTTACTCTCTATGTTACTCTCTATGTTACATTCAGCAGCCCCATCAACTTGTCACTACAGCACCCACTGAGAGACTACAGGGGATTTACCGGTTACGTGTACGATGGGATATCTGCTATCGCATGGTACAAACCCCAAAAAACTTCATTTTAATTCTGGTTGTAACAGAAAAAACACCAAGGGGATGAATACTTTCGCAAGGCATTGTATGTCTGCAGCAGTTTTTTTAAAATGACAGAGCATCTTTAAAGGATAATTTTACATTTGGTGAAGCTTTTCTTTTATTAAATCCCTTTCTGTGTGTAGGCAGCCTGGGATAATACTTAAAGTGGCCATACACTTTACAACCATCGCAAGACCTTAGTCTTGCGATGGTTGTAAAGTAATTAAAAAAATGTACAATCTGCCCATCTTGGACAGGCAGATCGTACTTGCGATCATCGCAAGCCCGCCCCCCTGAGGGGCGTGCTTCCGATGACCGCAATGCTGAATGGGCAGTGTGCGCTTGCGCACACCGGCCCGTTCGGCATTTGTCTCCCGAGCATGCTAAAAAACAGCCGAAAATCGTACGATTCTCGGCCTGTTTTCTAGTATGCTCCTTAGACAAAAGACGTGCGATCGTACAGTAGAAACGGTTGCACGTCTTCATTCACACTGCTTGATTCTCCTACGATCGCGGGATTTCCCGTGATTCTCGTACGAGAATTGTGCAGTGTATGGGCACCTTTACTCTCCTTCTTGAACCAGCGATCTTACTGCCAATATGGACCTGGTCGGCTCCTCTTTATTCTGCACATGTGCTGCAGCCTTTTTGTTCATATAGGGAAAGAGTCTTTCACAGACTGCTAGAGGCCACCACGGGCGTGGCTACCAATTGGAATGAACAGAGCTGTGGCGCACATGCACAGAATGAAGGGGAGCTGACAAGTACTATGTCAGTGGTAAGACTGAGGGAATAGGGCTGAAGATACAGTATGTGTAAGCCCAGGCTCCAACACAAACATTACTACTCTTATTCCTGTATTGGACTCCTCACCCTGTAAGAGCCTCCCAGGTGCAGGTAATGAAGCAAAAAAGAAGAAAATAGTGCATACCATGGATGCCACTAAGTAGGGTAGTGTACTTCTGTATGATTTAACCCAATGGGTAAAATGCATTAGAGGTGTGTAACTGCAAAACAGGGAGTATTAGTGTTACTGGGACAGAGAAACACTAATCAATACTCTGCTTAGTGGCATTCACGTTGTGCAATATTTTCCTTTTTTTGAGAATATAAGCCCAGGCTACCAAAGAATACATTAATGCTTTTACTCTTTTATACTGGCATATATGGTTGGTGACTAAAGCACTGCAAGCCGTTCAAAATTTAGTTTTTTTTAATGAAGACCTACCACTAAACACTGCTGGACCTTACAGTAGAAAAGTGTTTGCCAAGAGACACAAATGGGCCACTGGCTCCTTAAACAGAAACACAAAAATAATTCAAAGAAATTTAAAATGGTTATAAAAGTAAAAGCCTATTAAAAGTCTAAAAACTTTAACCCTTTTATCGAGGAATTGTTCATGTTTCTATGCTGTGTTATTGCAGGAAGTCAACAACTGCAGAAATCACATTGACTGAAAATGAATGAGTTTGCATGGAAAGAAAAATTTGCCAATAAGATTGATGAATTTGGAATTCCAGATACATGGGATCTCCGCTTTGATATGAATCTTACAAAACAAGACAAGGGATTGATTTATACACAGGATACTTTTGGAAGGTAAACAAAGCATGTGCATTTTATTAAGCCTTTAAATAATATTATATATTTTACACATTAATACATAAAATCTCAGCTAAACCAACTTTCAACCAAGATTTTTTGTAGTAAATGTTAATTTATGCATCCTTACTCACTCTCTGTCCTTACAGCAACCAGCACTACCCTACTTTCATATATTTCCTGACACTCTGCCAGCACACCAATGCTCACGTCTTCACTCTCAGCCACTGCATCAAGACGTCTTCACTCTCCGCCACTGCACCAACACATATCTTCACTCTCCGCCACTGCACCAACACACTTCTTCATTTTCAGCCACCGCATCAACACACTTCTTCACCCTCAGCCACTGCACCAACACATCTTCACCCTCAGCCACTGCACCAACACATCTTCACTCTCAGCCACTGCACCAACACATGTCTTCACCCTCAGCCACTGCACCAACACATCTTCACTCTCAGCCACCGCACCAACACATGTCTTCACCCTCAGCCACTGCACCAACACATCTTCACTCTCAGCCACTGCACCAACACATGTCTTCACCCTCAGCCACTGCTCCAACACATCTTCACTCTCAGCCACTGCACCAACACATCTTCACTCTCAGCCACCGCACCAACACATGTCTTCACCCTCAGCCACTGCTCCAACACATGCCTTCACACATCTGCCACTGCACCACCACACATCTTAATTCTCTGCCACTCGACCAACACATGTCTTCACTCTCAGCCTCTACACCAACACGTCTTCACTCTCAACAACTGCATCAACCCACATTTTCACTCTTAACAACCATTTATCTAGATGAATTGTAAAGCTGGCCATACACTAGTAGATTATCTTTCGATTTATTTTGTGCTGTCATCGAACCCTCGTTTGATTTCCGTTCTAATACTCCATCATGCTCAGTCCAATGTTGATTTCGAAAATCGTTTGTTAGCAATACTAACTCACCGAATTTTGTAAATCGACAGAATGGATTGTCGCTTGCGCACGTACAGTGTTCTTGTGAATTTTTTTGTACGAAAACGCCACTAATCCACCGATTTTCTTTGATTAAAAAAAACATTTCCAGCCTGACCGATCATTTGTTGGGTCTCTGCTTCATCAGCTTCTCTGGGGGTCCCAAGGTGACATTAGGGGTCTTAAAGACCCCTGATGTCTCCATAAAGAGGACCTGTGACACTGCAAATTGGCTGTCACATAGGGAGTTTGTTTGCTCCCTATGTGATAGCAATAAAGTTCAGTGAGACAAAAAAAAGGTTTAAAAAAATTAAAGTTACAAAAAAAAAAAAATTAAAAGTCACATATCAAACCAATTAAAAAATTAAAATTAAAAAATTAAAGTCCCCCGCCCCCACATGCACACGCAAGCATGCGTCAAGTCCGCCTACGTGCGAAAAACGACGATTACATCCATTGAGCCGCACATGTTACATATCGCCATGAACGTCAGAGTGAGAGCAATAATTTTAGGGCCATCAATCACTGATAACACTAAACTGATGAGCGGTAAAAGCTTTTAAAGCGTCGACTGTGGTCAATTTTGAGTATGGTAGTTTTTTGCGATTTAACGGGTGCGTGCAATTTTAAAGCTTGACATGTTTGGTGTCTATTTACCCAACGTGACCCCGTCTTTTATATTTTACCAAAAAATTGGGTAATAATAAATGTTTTATAACATAACGTAGGGATAACAGGTTTTTTTTCAAAATTTTCAGTACTTTTTTCATTATATAGTAAAAACAAAACATAGTGGTGATTAAATACCACCAAAAGAAAGCTATCTGTCCCCAAAAAATGGTATAAAATTAATTTCAGTACAGCGTTGCATGACGGAATAAATGTCAGTCAAAATACTGCAGTGCTGAATACTGAAAAATGGCCTGGATGGGAAGGGGGTTTAAACACCCTGGTCAGCAAGTGGTTAAAGTAGTCCTTGAGCTACTTTTATGGTGCCAATCAGCTCATTTTTCTCCATAGACTTCAATGAAAATGCACTGATCATTTTTTGCACATTTTATTAGTGTGTTTTTGCAGCTGAGGCTGATTTTCATTAAAGTACTGAAACGTGTTAAAAAAATGCACGAAAAAAAGCACTGGAATGCTGTCCCCGTGGTGTGAATGGAGTCATAGGGCAGCACTTGATTGCCTTGTTACAGATGATATAATAACCATTAGGATTTAGAACCATACCATATTTGGAAACATTTTAGGAGCTGAACATTACACTGCTACTTAATAAAAAGTTGTAGAATATTGCAAAGCTGCGAAATACTACTGCTGCACGTTATCAATGAATTCTAGTTTAACCCTTACATTCCAAAGAGAGATCCCAGTTGTGATCTGACTGTATATTTCTCCTCCCTTTAGCTTCCGTTGCTCACGCTGTGCACGCAGCTGGAACTCATCAAAGGTATTCATATTGTTCCTTTTAAATCAAAACAAGCGTCTGAAACATGGAATAGTGAGAATGAGGATTTTCAAGCAGGGTTGTGAAAGTTGCATCCATCGTGAGGAATACCCGACAATGACATCTGACAACATTGCAAGAGTTGTTTGTAATTTAGTCTATAAAATTCAAAGGAAATTCTATGGGGTGAATGATAAATATCAAGATTCAAAACCACGAATCTTTGGCCCCCTGGATGGTCCACATAACACAGAGCTTTGTGAGGCATGCAGATGTGGTTTATGTGAACTGATGCAATCCGGGGAACATAAAGAAATGGAGAACGAAGGATCAGAACCACCTGGTCTGTTGTCTGTCCTAGCTTTGGGTTTGGGAGCATTAGCACTAATGTATTTTCAAAATAAATGATCATTCTGAGAAAAAAAAAGAAAACAGTCTTGTACAGCCACAGTTACACATGCATGTACAACTTAAAGTGTATTGTATAGCATTATTTCTATTTTGGATGGGGTAGGGAAGGGTTAAAACCCCTGCCAGGTATTTCTTTTTTTTGTTTTGTTTTCTGTGTACCATTGAAGCCATTTTCCTTTAGTTCCTGTCATAGAGATGCAACAAGAAGTTAGAGGAACTCTCCCAAAGTGGGAATGCCCCTCTTAAATGATAGTTGTCCCCAGAACAGGTACCCTTATTAGAAAGTTTTACTTCACCTCTTGTTTTGTGGCCAACTCTAAGATTTTAGATTATCACTTTCTTTTTCTGTGACAACGGTCACCAGTACAGTACAAATAAAGTGGTAAATCTTCCCTTGGGGACTTGGACAGCAATGAAAAAAAAAAGGTCTAACACTTCCTCATTATACTCAAGAAAATAAAAACATTTTAGCCAAGAGGTGAAATCTAATATATAATATTAGAGTTTAATTCTATTAAACATTTTCCTTTAAATAAAATAAAATAAATTGTTGATTTTTATGGAATTTGATTAATTGTAACTGAAAACAGTCTTCACCCTCAGCCACTGCACCAACACATCTTCACTCTCAGCCACTGCACCAACACATGTCTTCACCCTCAGCCACTGCACCAACACATCTTCACTCTCAGCCACCGCACCAACACATGTCTTCACCCTCAGCCACTGCACCAACACATCTTCACTCTCAGCCACCGCACCAACACATGTCTTCACCCTCAGCCACTGCACCAACACATCTTCACTCTCAGCCACCGCACCAACACATGTCTTCACCCTCAGCCACTGCACCAACACATCTTCACTCTCTGCCACTGCACCAACACATGTCTTCACCCTCAGCCACTGCTCCAACACATGCCTTCACCCATCTGCCACTGCACCACCACACATCTTAATTCTCTGCCACTCGACCAACACATGTCTTCACTCTCAGCCTCTACACCAACACATCTTCACTCTCAGCCACTGCACCAACACATGTCTTCACCCTCAGCCACTGCACCAACACATCTTCACTCTCAGCCACCGCACCAACACATGTCTTCACCCTCAGCCACTTCACCAACACATCTTCACTCTCAGCCACCGCACCAACACATGTCTTCACCCTCAGCCACTGCACCAACACATCTTCACTCTCAGCCACTGCACCAACACATGTCTTCACCCTCAGCCACTGCTCCAACACATCTTCACTCTCAGCCACTGCACCAACACATCTTCACTCTCAGCCACCGCACCAACACATGTCTTCACCCTCAGCCACTGCTCCAACACATGCCTTCACACATCTGCCACTGCACCACCACACATCTTAATTCTCTGCCACTCGACCAACACATGTCTTCACTCTCAGCCTCTACACCAACACGTCTTCACTCTCAACAACTGCATCAACCCACATTTTCACTCTTAACAACCATTTATCTAGATGAATTGTAAAGCTGGCCATACACTAGTAGATTATCTTTCGATTTATTTTGTGCTGTCATCGAACCCTCGTTTGATTTCCGTTCTAATACTCCATCATGCTCAGTCCAATGTTGATTTCGAAAATCGTTTGTTAGCAATACTAACTCACCGAATTTTGTAAATCGACAGAATGGATTGTCGCTTGCGCACGTACAGTGTTCTTGTGAATTTTTTTGTACGAAAACGCCACTAATCCACCGATTTTCTTTGATTAAAAAAAACATTTCCAGCCTGACCGATCATTTGTTGGGTCTCTGCTTCATCAGCTTCTCTGGGGGTCCCAAGGTGACATTAGGGGTCTTAAAGACCCCTGATGTCTCCATAAAGAGGACCTGTGACACTGCAAATTGGCTGTCACATAGGGAGTTTGTTTGCTCCCTATGTGATAGCAATAAAGTTCAGTGAGACAAAAAAAAGGTTTAAAAAAATTAAAGTTACAAAAAAAAAAAAATTAAAAGTCACATATCAAACCAATTAAAAAATTAA